TCAGTTTTATTTTTTGTAAATTAGGAAATGCCACTATCATATAGGTTTGTTGTTAGGATTAATATAATAATATTTGTGGCATACCCTAACAGTAAGTTGCATATAAGCCATGCATATGTCTTTTTTTCTGTTTTTCTATTTTATAGTGGTTAAAAACTACAAACCCTAACTTTCATAGATATTTTTGCATCTAGATGTAGACATGTTAAAACTTCTGGCTAGTAAGATGTAAGCCAAAGTCTCTAGAAAATGGCCAAGGGAATGTTTCATTTATGAAAAAGGGTTAGCTCACCCTTTTTAAATTACAGCTAAAGGGTTCATTTTGTCCTTTCTGCCAGAATATAGAAAAAAAAATGCCTGTAATAGAAGGAATCATCTCGCAATCAGGAGAATGAAAGCTGTGTGCTAGGAATAGTGGGGCTAAAAAAGTAAAATATATTTTCCTAATTAACATATTTGAATGTTTGAACTAACCTTGCCTTCCTGCCTCTACAATTCTTATATGATGAAACAAAGCATTTCCTTATTTAAGACACTGTTAGTTTTCAGTCTGTTTGTTTTTGCTTTTGGGAAACATTCCTTGATTTTACAACATGTAAAGGGTCTAAGGATTCTGTTCACATAACTTGTTCTTAATTTATTTTAATTGTCTAACCAGTCTACTAACTATGATAATATTAGAGAAAAAAAAGTAAATTAAAATTTGAACTTGATATTATACAGTTAAAATTTGAAAGACTTTGTCTTGTTACTTTGAATAGCAGAATACAAGAATAGCAGGGCTTCTCAGGACTGCTGTTATAATATTCATTGCTTTTAAAACAGAATGCTGCTGCTGTACATATCACAACAATTCATTAAGTTGCTTAATTCACTATAAATCATTGGTCATTTTAGTAAGGAGATGAAATATACATTCTATAACTCATCATTTTTACTGAAATGTCAAATTATTTTAAAGATTTTTATTTATTTATTTATTTATTTTTAGAGAGAGAGGAAAGGAAGGAGAAAGAGAGGGAGAAAAACATCTATGTGTAGTTGGCTCTTGTGCACCCCCTCCTGGAGACCTGGCCCGCAACCCAGGAATGTGCCCTGACTGGGAATTGAACCACTGATTCTTTAGGTTTGCAGGCTGGCACTCAGTCCACTGAGCTACACCTGCCAAGGCTGAAATGTCATCACATTCTTAAAACTGAAAGTGCTTCTCCCTTTTCAGCTCATTCTTCTCTCCTTTTATTCAGAGACCTTCTTTCAAAATCACCTTTTAATGCCTATGCCATTCAGCTTTTAGTCCATCCTGCCAAATATACACTATGACCTATGCATTTGAAATCATGTCCATTGTGAGAAGGGGAGGTGTAGAAGGTGAATTTCAGTTTATTCTGTGATAACTGCAATAAATGAAAATGAAGTAAATAGCAACTATTTAACATGCTTGTTATTTTTATAAAATCAGGCATTTAAAAAGTGACATAGAACTGTTCACCTCAATGGACTGATCATCGTGAAAAAACAATTTAATGTTATGTAAGATATGTTTATTTGTAAATAATTTAGCAACAAAAGATACAAATAGTGAAATAAAACTACCCAAGGCTGTGCTTCTCTAAAATTATAAGAAGTTGGGGAGAAGGGAAATAAAGTTTTAAAACCCAGAGGTTTTCAAACTTAAAGATGATGTTATGCTTTGTTATGTAGATGTGGTAGGTGATTGACAGCACATAACAATTGCCTAATTGGAGGCCTACTTTTAAGGACTGATCTTAATCCTCTGTAACTTGAAATAAAGTAAAATATGTGGGTACTATCCGATTACTCAGATGAAAGGAATATTTGTTTCATTTTCAAAGTATCTTGGGTACTTAACTATTTGTTTGTATTCTACTTTTTCATTCCTTGAGAGTAAAATAAATACTATAGGTCTGCTTCTTGATGAGAAGGCCTGAATGAAGTGGGCTACTTCATTCAAGTTAATTCTTTATTCCAGTTCCCCAAACAGAACTTCTTATTTTGGACTACCAAACACAATTGATATCCATGCTTTGCTTTTTCTTTTGGAAAATATTTTATTGAAACTTGGCCAAGGAAATATATGTCAAAGAAGAAGGAGGAGGATGAGAAGAAGGAAAAGGAGGCAGAGGAGGAGAAACAAAAGAGCTTCCCTGCACTTCAGTGGCAATTTATGCATAATATATAAGCAAATGCTACTGAAAAGTTACTTGAAAAATAGTCATTGTGGAGCACTTCCAGTTTCTAAAATATGTTTTATTAACCCATACAACTACTTCTGGCTTGGTGCTTACATTTATAAAGCATCATTTTCATCATAGATCTCTGTCTCTACCTTTCTTCCGATGAGACATGGGGGACCACAAACTGTCATCTTACTATGCAGTAGTCCTGAGATGCTAATGTTGCCTCATCATCAGCACATCTTTGTTTCATTATAATTTTCTGCATGCAGTAAAGATTCAGTGAAAAGTGTTAAAGGAGTCAATGAAATAAAGTGTGCTAAATTCTGGAAGAGACAATGTGATCACTTCTAAAATATCCTGACTGTGTTCGGTACAATAATGTACTACTTCCTCCAAAGATGTCCATTGGATTCTAAACCTTGTGATATGTGGCTTTGTCTTCTTACATGACAAAATGGATTTTGCAGAAGTGATTAACTTAAGAACCTTGAGACTGGAAATTTTTCTTATATTACCCCTGTGAGCTCAAGTAATCACAAAGACGCTTATAAGAGGGTGACAGAAGAGTCTACAGTCAGGGAAGGTGATGTAAAGATGGAAGCAGAGTTTAAAGGGCTACAGCAAAAGCCAAGTGATGGAGGCAGCCTCTAGAAGCTGGAGAAGTCAAGGAAGATTCTCCCTTGCTTCTGACACCTTGACTCGAGTCCTGTAGGACTCATTTCCCGCTTATGATTTCTAGAGATATGTCACAGTAAGCTATGTTGTTTAAGCCACTGAGTTTGTGGTAATTTGTTACAGCAGAAGTAAAAGTGTATACTGTCATCTGCTTCTATAAAAAGTTTTCAGAGAATTGATGATCCAAATTTTAAAAATGTCCAAAGCTGTGGTTCTATTAAGGTGTTGCTGTCACAGTATCATTTCCTGGTGATACAGAAGCATATAAAGGAAGACATTTAGTCTAATCTGAGGAAGTAGGACTGGGAGTTAAGATAGCTGATATGGCAAAAGACATCAGAGATACCCAAGTGAAAAGGATGTTGTGGTGAAATGCACAAGAAGACAGAAATACTTCTGGGAACAGGAAAAGGTATTTGTGAGTAATTTATGTTGGTTAAAAGCTTGGATAAATTGAGAACTAGAGGTATTCTTATATAACTGGAATCTGCAGAGTGATGTAGAAAATAGTGTAAAATGAAGCTGGGGAAATGGAAAGATTATAGAACCAGCAGTGACTTTAAGTAGGGCAATTAAGAATTTGTACATTTATTTTAGGAACATTTAGAAGCCATCAAGGGGTTTTACTGCATGGGATTGGGATAGTTTAGACATGTTTTAATTAAACTATTCCATTTTATGCTCTCCTATTATCCATTCAGATGTGGCAATGCTTTTCTTCATCCTAACATTAGAAACATCTACAACAAATATATTGCATGGGTCATGATAATTTTAGGATACCATGCCATTATGCATCTGTAATTAGAAAAACACTATAGATGATTTTGAAGTTGTATGCAATGAAATGCTATAATTAATTGCCCAAATTTCTGGGCACTGAGTAGGCAGTTTAGATAATTAATGAAAGTCAATTAGTTGTTCACATTATCTTAATCAATACAAGTTACATGGACTCCGTCTTTCTTCATGCCCTTTTGCTTAGCCATAATGTAAATGGAGATGAAAAAGAAAAATCACTGTGATTAAAAACAAATCTTCTATATAAGTGAACTTTAGAATTAATGTGCCTCTTATGATAGTCATGCTCTGAGTTTTATTCTCAATTAAGTGCAATCTAAAAATGAATTAACAATGACATTTGTAAATGGATGGAAAAGAAATCATATATAACAGTGATTTGATTTTAAAGGCCCAGTGATATTAGCTCTTTAAAAAGTCCGAGGGCAAGAAAGAATGGGCCTATAAAACTTCTGGTGTCATTATTTTCCAGACAGATGAGGCCCTACTAATTCTAACTTATTTGAATGAAACTGCTCTAGGTTTGATGAAGGGTCTTTTTTTCAGAAGGTACACGATGACATCTATAACTTCTTCCAGTCATGATACAATTTAAAGTGTGAAGTGTTCCATCATATCCTCAAAAATGTATTTTAGAAAAGAAAAAAGAATTGGCTATTCTAATTATGATCAAACTGAGGCATATAATCCCTTATCACATATTTATAATAAATTTGTACAATTTTAAAAAACTATGATGGGCCCCAAAATTTTGTATTTGAGAATAAATCCCTTACTGAAAGATCAGAGTAACTCAGGCTGAAGCTATAGGACTCAATTATAACCTTTCTTAATGTCAGAATATCTCCTCTATGGTGGCAAAAGTTAAGTTTTTCTCTATTCAAATTATATCCTCTTCTTTTTTAAGAAAGCAGGATCATTACATTCACATAGAAATGACTGAAGTACTGTAAACATGTACTGTAAATCAGGCAACCTCAAGACACCATTTCCAGTCTTGGAGACAGATCCTTAGGCAAGAATAACAAAATTCGTTCAGACTGCCTGTACTAACTGACTTCAATTTATATTCACATTAGACACAATTATAATATAAATGACCCGTGATTATGATGTTAAACATCTCAACTGGTTAAAAAAGTTCTGAATAAAGAAATGTAATTCTTGGATTTCTGTCAGGAAGTTTATTAGTGTAGAAAAGTATTTTTATTCTAACAGAAAAAATATCCATCCTAATGAGCTTATTAATTATCTGCAGAAATATACCTTTTGCAACATTAAAAGGTTAAATGATGCATATATGTTCTTCTTTTTCATATTTCCCAGAATCTTCAATGAGGTAATGGTAAGTCTAATATATTTCATTTGGTTGTCTAAAATCTTTTTATGAAATAATCAGGGATAGCATGATTTAATCTAATCCTAAACTTTATTATAAAAAAAAGACATGCAACTAATCATGTGTACCATTATAGGATATTACTCATAAACTAAAATAGTTCTTGTAAATTTTCTAGACCATATTCATAGATTATGAAACCAGGAATTTATATTAAAAGTCCTTTTAAATTCTATGTGTGATTATATATTCTATATACTATATGCTAATATAATTATATTTGAATTACATAATAACTTACATGTTAATATATATTATATATAAAATCTTTAAAATTCATTAAAAGGAAAAATAAAATCAAACATGGCAGGTATTGATAATTGAAAACTAAACAAGTAAAGATTAAAGTAATTTAATGTTAATTCTAATCTGTTTTTCAAGAGGCCCTATTTTGATCTGAATAATGTAGAAATGAATTTTTTTTGTATTCTTTCAGAAGGAAATATACAGTCACAGAAGGTGAAGATTGGTGTTGGCCTCTCACATTTTGTTCTCTTAGAAATGAGTTATGATTAAAAAAACTACTTCCATCACATGTAAGTAAAATGCATGTGTGCCTTAGGCATTTAAAAATCACAGTATGGTACTAGCAATTTAGAAATACAAACTAGATTATTTATTTATTGCAAACATAAACAGAAGGACATAAGGCCTTACCGTCTTCACTTGTTGCTATGAGCTACTAATATTCACACATGCTCACCACCAGTGTCATATACTATTTAAAGGCAAGCCCAGAACATTAATTTAGATTAAATGATTATCATTAACAATATAATCAGTCCTTGTCATTTTACATACTATTCAACAAATGTGTAGAGGAGAAAAATAGTAAGAGCTCAATACCATATTTCTACAACGCGTTAAAATTAAGTAAATGGTGTCTTGTTATAATATAACATTCGTTTCAGAATGTGGTGGATCTTTGATTCTGTTGTTTTCAGATTTTTATTGTTGCTTCCAACTTGGCGAGCATTCATCCTTTGATAAATGAAGCATTGGTAAAGTTATAGCTGATCCAAAACATTGTTATTTATAAAGGACAAACATTATTTATAAAGACAAACATAAGTATGTTCTTTGCAAGGACATTTAGTCTCAGTGTGAATTAATCCCCTTTTATGGGAACTTCTCCTAACTCTGTGTCATGAACAGTAAAATAATTTCTTAAAAGTGAAATAATTTTTAGTTTATTTTTTTCAATTAGGTAGACTGGACAGGATTATTCTTGCTACCTTCCAAATTAGGGATTTTTTTTTCATTTATTGATAGAAATTTATCTAAATAAATTATATAAAATTAAGATATTTTAGGAGTATAATAAATTATTATAGTAGAAATTGATGCTTAAACAAATTAAACTAATGCATAATTAAATTCTAGTCTAAATGTCATAGACTAGGGCAATTTTGCTCCAAACATTACTTTGATATTTTTAATTCTATTTCAAATCATGTTTTGTGCCCTCAGTTAAAAGTATCTTGCTAGTTTTATAAAGCCAGTAATATAAAATCTCCATACCATTCTTCCAATGATTATTTTTTTAATAGTAATAAGCCTGGATCCCCACTATAAGAGCACAAAATGTAATGGGGTTTAGGCAGAAAAGTCTCTTCTGAGATAATGAGCCATGAAATTTCTATAGAAAATGGAAATTTAAAAAAAAAATAAGAAAAACTATGTACCTACTTTCAAAGTCCAAATTTTGAAAACATGTTGTGTTGTAGTTGTAGGGGACTTTAGACTGAAAAAAAAGGCAAGATAAGGCAATGTAAAAAAAAAAAATGCCAACATAAAATTGTAAAATATGAAAAGTTCAAAATTGTGTTTTTTTCTATATAATTAGTTACATTGGCATTAGAAATGACCTCCATGTTCTGGGCAACATAAATAATGACATTCTACTCTCAATTTCCCATTTTGTATACGTGTTTTCGGGAAAATAAACATGAGAGTATAAATTTGATTCAAAAGACCAAGTGAGTGTAGACGCAAATACAATAATATGATTTAAGGAGTGGAGCAAAACTATGACAACTATTTTAGAGTAAGAAACTTTTTATAAGAATTGGGCCTTACAATTGTGGGTGTAGCTGGGGAGGTGAAGGTCCCAAAGGGAAAGTTGAGTAACCTGTGACAAGTCAGTACCATTACCTGGCACAAGTGAAGGAAACCTGGCCAGGACACCTGAAACCTAGGGATGACCAGCTGCTGTAGTTCTATCACAAACTGTGGGCTGTTATCAGCTTATGGGAGGGTGTTAGCTCTTCACCGCTATGGTCTGCGTTCTGAGCAAAACTTGTGTGGTTGGCTTGCTTTTACTATCGATCAGCAGGTTTGGCAGTTGGGAAGAAGAACTGAAAGGAAAGCCAGATGAGTGAGGACAAATTGGAACCCGTCAGGTTTGCGCACCTCTCCACACCTGTAAATATTGACTGCCTTCAGTATGTCATGACAACTGCTTCCTTTGGTCACACTCTAACCTGGAACCAAACAGAAAAGAGCATTCTGGGAAACTGAGTTCCTAGTGACAAGAGTACAATTCAGTACATTGCTTAATGTGGAATCACACATTTTGACCATTTTCACAATTTTTTTTTGTTGTTTTAAAACTATTTTTTTAAAAAGGAAGTATGTTGTGTACATTCAGAGAAAATGAATAACCCTAAATGGAATCTATGTCACTCAGTACTTTTCTATAAAACCATGTAACTCTGAGTAAGTGTTTTTTTTTTTCTAAATGGCATTCTAGAACAGCATTTTGAGAATACTAATAATGATATTAAGGGAAATCCTAATGATATTAGGATTGGAATTACACATTCAATTGCATTTGGGAAATAGAATTTTAAACTTGGAACAATATTTACACAAATACTTATTTTTTAAAATGCTGAAAGAATTTAATATTTTAATGCTTATTTTGAGTCAGTAAGAAAGGAAAGTAAGAAATAATATGAATAGTATTGTTAAATTATTAGTCCATAAACTCTTACTATTTTTTCCCTTTTGTGACAATATTTAAGAGTAATGAAAGAAACATTTCTATAGGCTTAAAAATCTTAAATTTTCACCTAAGTATTTTTATGTCTCTATTTCTATAGGCATTCTTCTCTTTAACCATGAAAGATGAAAAAGGTGGATAACTTGCCTCGATGCACAATCACTTCCTGACAATTTTGGATTGCCCAGAAAGGAAGAAATGGGTAATGCAAACAATTTCTGCAATTAAAAATTATTTCTAGTTAATTGGCAATTTTTAAAAGTTTCATAAGATCTGCAGAGTGCAATTCATTAATAGTCCTTGATTCATGATATTCCTATGACTTTGCTCAGGGGAAGAGTTGGCAGAATTATGCTGCAGTCAATCATAAAACTACCATTAAATGTCCGTATTAATGACCAGTTTCTAATCATATTGTAGATCATTTTAATCAAAGATAGAGATGTGGTTTGAGAAATGATTCATGAAATTTTCTTAGAGTTGAAAAGATATACTTTTGTTTGTAATAAATTTTAATTTTATCTCAAATTTTTATTTGACAGTAGACAACCAATATTTCGGTCTAAAAAGCCATTTAACACTTATACATTTTCCTAATATGTAAATAGCAATTCAGAGTGAGGATGGCAATGTCTTAAAAACTCTTTAATATAAAAATTCAAATCAAATATGAAGGAGAGCTCAGAATAAACACTGAGAAGAAAGATGTAAAACAGGTCAAAATCTTAAAGCAATTTAGGTAGTTTTTCTTTTCCCTGGTCAAAATTGCTGTTCATAAAGTTGATACTATAAAAATATTGTGAGAGTATTTGAATTTGAAACATGAAAACAAGCACATGAATAAAATTTACATAGGTAAAATTTTGCCAAAGCTTTATATTTGCCATAAGATTGATTATCCACTAGTGGATCTTTCATGGACCTGCTGAAACTCTATCAGGCCTTCTCCAATCTGCATTGTTTTATCTGTCCTTTCTTTTGGTTAAATAGAGCTTTTAAAAATAAAATCAAGTTGTTAAAAATAAAATCAGTTACATTACATGTAACATATTTTATACTTAGAACATATATTATACAACGCAGTATTATATGAACATTTGTAAGTGGTATAAACAACGTGTTTGAATGAATTTGGATCTAATAAAGAGATTTCAAATTTAGATAAAGTAATATTTCTTATGCTTGCAAAGTCATAATATAAATATATTCTTTGATCTGTCTGAATATATTACACATTTTTTTAGTTAATCTAGACCTTGTAGCAAAGAAAATTCAGTTTTTGAAAGTAGGCCAAAAATGATAATAGGGAATGTTCACTGGATATCACTGATTCTTTAATGCCATTATGATTTGAAAATATATTTAAATTTGCCTAATTTAATGAGAGAAAACTCACTGGAAAGAATTGCTAATCAGAATCTTCAAAACAAAACTAACAAAATTTGAAAATACAAAACAACAGCTATCAAGGTACATTTGCAGGAAATGTGTTAGTTAGATTGAGTCAACACTATTTCACAGTAAAATTAGATGCTTAATTTTTCTATTAATGACTATTTTGCTGTATTTTTATTTAGATATTTTTATTTAGGTATTTAATTAATATACAATATCACATTAAGTATACAACATAGTTGTTCGAAAATCTACTTAATGAAGTGATCACCACGAAAACTCTAGTTTCTATGATCAGCAACATTTGCTGTGTATGAGCTACATTCTTCTGCTTCTTTGTATGTCTCACAACTTTTGTGCATGTAGAGAACTGTACATTTTAAATAACTTACTGTGTTATCTCTGAAAATTAAACTTATCCACCTCCTTGTGGACTGCTTTTGCTGACATGTATCTTTGTTTACTATGACTCTTTGTTTTTTTTTTTTATTTTATTTATTTATTTTTAGAGAGGGAAGGGAGGGAGATAGAGAGAGAGAGAGAGAAACATCAATGTGCGGTTGCTGGGGGTTCTGGCCTGCAACCCAGGAATGTACCCGGGCTGGGAATCGAACCTGGGACACTTTGGTTCCCAGCCCGTGCTCAATCCACTGAGCTACGCCAGCCAGGGCACTATGACTCTTTTTTAAAAAAGATTTCATTTATTTATTTTCAGAGAGAGGGGAAGGGAGGGAGAAAGAGAGGGAGAGAAACATCAAATCAGTTGCCTGTCATTCACCCCCACTTGGGGACCTGGACCTCAACCCAGGCAAGTGCCCTGACATGGAATTGAACCGACAACCTTTCAGTTCACAGGCCAGTATTCAATCCACTGAGCCACACCAGCCAGGGCTGGACTATTTTTATAAAGCTTCCATTATTTGTCATGTGTAGCCACTGAAATGTATACCCAGTTAACTTAGGAGTTAGTTTGACTGGGCAGAGATTTTGTTAAATGTGCTGAACCCTCTTGAGCTCAGACCAGACAACTGTGCCTTAGGCTTCTCTTTCTGTTCATTCAGACCCTCAAGGTGGGCCGGAGATCAGAGAGTAGGGCCTTCTTATATGTGTTCTGGGCAAGTAGTTGCCCTGCGTATGTGTGCAGCCTTCAAAATTATGAGAAATACATTAGAATTTTTCAAAATCCATTGTGGACACCTCTTTTCCCAATTTGTCCTTTTAAATTTTGGGTGAGTCTCTTATTCCCAACTGGTGTTGACGCTTCAAGCAGTTATGATGGTAAACAATTGCCAGTTGCCAGTGATGCTTTTTGACAAGTGCCCTTGATTTTAGAAACTTTGCTGAGAGCATGTGCTGAGTCACGTCAGTACAGACAAGCCCTAGAACAGAGGTTTTCAGGGACTTCCTAAACGTGACAAATGATTATTCTTCCCTGGGCATGGGACTTTTGAGGACCTACCATCCAGTCTGTCCTCTGCAGTGACTCCTAAAAGCTGTTAGGTGGCTGGTTTTTATAGCTACTGCAAGTGCAAGGTTGTCGATTTCAAGGACACCAAAAATATCAAGGACTCCAACAGAAGAATGGAAATATTTGTGGCAAGTTAAAATGCCACAAAACTTGCTCCTTCACTGATACTTAATCTTTTTTATTGAATAAACTTTTGTTTGATAATTAGAAGCTTTTGTTTTATTTCCAGAGTTCCAAAAGGTTGATTTTGAATAATTGTGACAAGATATTCTCAATACTTTTATTAAGGAATATATTTTTCAAGGTTTTTAATCTAACATTTGACATCTGGTTCTTATAATTTAACTCCTCTATTGTTTAAATCATATATAAAAAACTCATTGCCTCAGTAATCTTTAAATACTTTTCAGGATATCAACTTATTTTGGAAAATAGCTGTGATAGACTCTTTTAATCTTTACCATGTTTTTTCATCCATTCCAGCAGGTTGAATACACAACACAACTCTGTTGAAATCAAGCATGGCCATATGACTTGTTTAGATGTGAGCAGAAGAGTGATTATCACTCCTTGGCAAAAATGTTGAGATAATGTATACCTTTCCATACCCTCAATTTTCTCCCAGGACTGTAGATATTATTTATATAGAAGCTACACTAACATTCTGGGTATCTGATTAAAAGTGCTGGGAAACAATCCATGGCCTCCCATTGATGGACCTGTAGCATAAACCACTGAGATTTTTAAGTTTATTAATAGCAGCATAACGTAGTTTACTAAAATTGATACAGTAGCCTAGCATCATGCATATATATGTTAAACACCTTCCTGGCATTTGTTGTATGACTGTGACAGGACATAGCTGAGCAGTAGCCATTCTTAGGTAGGAGCTGACTAGCAGCCGTTCCCAGACAGCAGCCTTTCCCAAATAAGCAGTCATCTCAAGGTCGTACACTAATCCCCATTTTCACAGTTGCACTCCTTTCCCTCCTCCTTCTGCCTGTGTAACAAGCATATAAAGAAACCTCCAGCTTAAGCTCATGGCCCAGAATTTGGATTTTTATCTCCTCTGGGTCTGCATGCGTGAATAAACCCCACTTCATAAACTCCGAGGCCATCTGAGTTGTCTTTTCCGTAACATGACAAGTCTCTGCCTTCTTTATAATTCACAAAGTTTTTGTTGTTCATTTGAAGGGGAAAAAATACACACACACAAACTACGTCACTTCTATATTGTTGGTGAGTTGCTCTTGATAATTTTCCAAGACACTAAAATATCTTATATATCTCAAAAAATGGTAAATGATTATTCTAGCAGCCATTTGTATTTATTTCTAAAGGCAATGAGTTTTTTTTACATACTTGAAGCAGAGTGGGGGTAAAGTGAGTGTACATAGAACACCTGATTCAAGATTAAAAATGTTTAACTTATTTTAATTTTCCATTAAAAGCACTAATCACAGTAAAGTCTCTTTTATGTTCCATTCAGGGTTTCTACAAGAAATCATATTTGAAAACAGTTAATAAAAAGTTTAGTGCTATCTAAGTGTAAAGCAATGATATGATGACTCACATCTGTATAACACGTTCAAATGTCCATCTTCAAATACCTTCTCTATTCTTATAGGGGACATTAAACTGGGCATGATCACAGAATAATAAGATATTCTGTTAGCAGCCCATGGGAGACCCCATCTTTCTCAGTCCCTTTATTACACTGATAAAGAGTCTGAGGTTCTGGACATGTAACTGACTTTCCCAAAGCACCCCAACAGGCAAACACCATGTCCAGGATGGAACCAATGCCATTCCATATCCCTGGAAAGCTGTGGTCAACATTTAAGAAAAGTTGACAATATATGGATACTAGGTATGTATGTACCATATCTAATTATATAGCTATGCATTATATATAATATAAACACACAGAATAGAGAGAATCCAAAGTCAAATATTGGCAGGGTAGTCTTGATAGATACCAGAATGAATCTCAGACCAGAGAGGAAATGACCATCCCATGAGGGTGACCTATTTTTCAAAATTAGTCACTGTATTAGTAAAACAGAGACTTGGTTTTGCACAAGAGTTCAAATTTGAAAATTGTAAGGAAGGTGATACATTCACCGTTAAGTATATTAGGAAATCAACTTCTTTTTTCTTACGCAATGCTCTTCCTTGGGAAGATTCCCAATCATGTGGATAAATAGTCTTCATCATAATGTGGAAAGAAAAAAATAATAATGAAGATTGTAGACAAATCATCAGCCCACAGCTTCTCACCCATTCCCTAATCCTCAATTTTCTGGGGTTACTTAAAAAAAAAAGCACATGTCTATCGT